CAACATGTCCAAATGAGCATAAAAAAAATGACACTAGCGACGACATGTCCAAACAACTAGGCCTTTAATTTCTTCCATACATCACATTGTACTTCCTCCTAAGCCAATCGAGCCTTTCATCGATGGGGAGGGTCATGAACATTTCTCTTTGCTCTTTCTTCACAAACAACTCAGTTGCCACAAAATGCTCATCGGTCTTATATGCAGCCCCACATGCCACAACATGTTCCATAACTTGCTCAATGGTGATCCCACCTTGCCTTTTAGACACAAAAGAAGATGCAGACTCAGAAATCTTTGAGATGTGCTCTTGGATAACAAGGGCTGTGCTACTCTTAGGTTTCTTGGTGGGCTTCTCCAAAATAACCTTAGCCTTTTTCTTACCATTGTCTGTGACAGGAGTGACCTCCTGAACATCATCTCCATTTTCAAAAGAGTTGTTGTCACCATCAAATGTGTGCTCGACAGTGTGGTGCTCAGTGGGGTGCTCAGCCTCTACACCATCGGTTGGAGTGTCATCATCAAGGGGTATGATGGGGTTGGAACTTATAGGATTCCAATGATCTTGCTCCTCATTAACAATGTTTCCAAACATCACCTTCAAGTCGTCTTCATTTTGGATAGGCTTCTTCTTGAACTTGCCAACACCACTAATTTCCTAAAACATATGAGAACGTCCAAAATAAGAAAAATTTCTAAGTTGCAAAAATAAAAACGTACATAGCATAACAAATAAAACTAACATTTGTTATCTTCTTCCACCACTCGGGATCCATATTGATAGTTCCTGTATTCCAATTGAACCCAACCCCCGTTTGCTTCCTTATTAATTTCCTCCAAACACCATAATCCCTTCTCAACTTGTCCCATTTGTTCTTTAGTTGCATTTTACTCAACATTATTCCGGTGGACTGAAAAAACCTATCAGATACCTCGATAAAGCCTACATTGTTCAAATGTGTGTTCGGCCGATTTCCTTTTCTAACTTGTTCGGCAAAAAACTTACAAACAATTGCGGTATAACCATCAGTCCAGTCCATAGCATCACCCTGACATTAATTTCCCACAAGTATTTGATCACCTAAATCAAGATTTCCCCAGCACCGTACAATTGTTGCACAAAATTGAAAGACAAATTTATACCTATCTTCTTTTGCCCTCTTGTTGGTCGACGGAGCGCTGGCGTCCCTGATTCTTCTTTCTGACGATTTAATCACCGCTATGACCAGTGGCCACACCCCCAGCCAAGACATGGTGCACTCATTGGCTAGCTTGAGGGAAATTGCTTTGGCGGTCGGCAAAGAGAGGCTCTTGGCCGGGCAGGAAGGCTTGTTGGGCAGCCAAGGCATGCTGGTGGGCGCTGGCCCATGGCGGTCTGGAGGCCGCCACGCTTTGCCTCGAGCGCCGGCCATGGAGGGTCGACGCGGCCGCTGCTCCTCGCCACCGACCAGGGCGGGTTGAAGGCCTACCGAAGGGGCATGTCCATGACGCGGGAGGAGGAGCTCCGGTGGCTGCGCATCAGGCCGACGAGAAAGCCCAACCCTAGGTGCGGTCTTTCCCATGGATGTGGGACGAAGGAGGTGCAGGAGGTCGAGCAGACCGGATCTACTGGGATCCGCCATGGAGGGCTCGGCCGGAGTGGAGGGATGGAGGGGAGGATGGGGGCGTGGCCTCCCCGGGCCGCAACGGAAGAGGAGGTCGGCCGCGAGGCGCGAGTCAAAGGCGTCAGAATCGTGAGGTGGGGAAGAAAGGAAAGAATCGAACCGGTAAGGGTAAGGGGTGTGTAACTAGTGGCAAATGTGGGTAATTTTTATCCAACTTCACGAGGAGATACGAAACACCCATTCGTGGAGCACCCCCTGAGGAGCTCCACCAATTTGGTGAATCTGGTCTCTAGATCCATCATTTTGGTGGATTTGAATTTGGTGTATCTAGGGTGTTTGGAAAATTTTTGGTGGAGTGAAGCTTAAAATAGTGAATCTGGAGTTTGTGAATCCGTGCCAAACATGCCCGTGACGAGTGGGAACCTGTAACTGCAAATTCAGTTGCCCGACGCTTGCCAGTTGCCACCGTTGGAAGCATACCAAGCGCTCCATGCAGGCAAGGCAGCAACGAGAGATCCCAAGCTAATGCAAAGGCACGATTCCTCTCCTTATCACGGCCTTCTCCCCGCGGCTGCCTTCGGTGGCTCGCGAGCACGCGACGGCGATGGCGCACCACCTGGGCCGCCTCCTCGTGGCGCTCCTCTACGTCTGCGCCTTCTCCGGCGGGCTCCTCGTCGCCGCCTCCCTGGCGCTGCTGGCCACCCTCGCGGGCGCGATGCTCGCGACGCTCGCGCTCGCAGCGTCCGACGCGCGAGCTCGCGGGCCTGGCCGCGCGCGTCGCCGACTCGGCCGCGGCCGACCTGAGGCTGGCGCGCGCGGTCGCCGCGTACGCCGTGGTCAAGGCCGCGGTGCGCGTGGCGCTCGTGGTCGGGCCCAAGATTGGCGCGCTCGCGTCGTGCGTCAGGAGCCTCGGCGCGGACGGCCGGCAGCACTACTACAGCGTGGCTCAGGCTTCGTTCTGCAGAGCTGCGAACTTGACTGCTGTAGCATGAGTGCATAACAAATCTTTCATACTAATTTCAAACAAAATTTCTGTACTTTCTTTATTTCTTTGGTTACAAACTTACAATAGGAAAGGAATTAATGAAAAGGACAGAAACTCGAAAGGCCTGAACAGAAACCAGCGATAAAAAGAACTGAACGATTGTTATCATGGAATCAGTGTCGCTTCCACAGTTCCACATGATCTCTAAGAATGAAACTGAGAACATACAAAAAGGGACAAAAAAAAGCTCTCGATATTATTGATTGCATTCCTCTGAGGTACACTTGCAAGTGGATTCAATTTTTCATACATTTCAATGGAAACAAATCACAAAGAATGCACGTAAAACTGTGAAACTACTCCATCTAGTATACAACAACGTATCCTCCTAAACCCGACCCCGAAGGTGTTTAGATGTATACAAACAAATATTTTCAGTGCCGTTGTATGGTCACAAAATTTCAAAGAAAACATGCTCAAGTCGCAGACCTGTCTTGCCTTGCCCAATGCACTGGACAAGAATTAGTTGGCACGACAAATCCATACCAGCACTATACACGAGCACCCAATGCCTGGAGCTGGTAAGGGATAAAACAGGGTTTAGCGCAACAGCACTATAGGCCATTGCAGTGGAAGGTATAAAAGAAATGGGCAAGCAAGCTTCAAACCTGGCTAACAAGAAGATCCACCTGCTCCCTGTACATCTCTTTTAGGTCAACAATATCATTTCTTAGCTCCTCCAACTGCAAAACAGCATCAAATTAAAGTAAGCATATAATAAAAGGTATTTTTACACAGTAAACAAAGATTATTTCGAAAACATAGAATAAATTATATCACTTCTTATTTTCTAACTGAACTGCACATGAGTGTTCGAAATCCAAACTGTACGTTGTTACAGCCATTGTTCATATTCTAGCTTATAGCTTACCTAAATGTTAACCGGTGATTCTGCCTAACTCTTGCTTTAGTTCATACCCCCTCTGACACTGAAAAAAGTTTTGTTTCCCCATCTTATAAAACAAACTAGTTTTTGTCTGACTGATACACACGCAATATTCATAAGCTTATGCTTGTTGGCACAGTTTACTCAAACAACGTTTAATCCTAGCTTGGGCTAAGCAGAATGTACCCCGAAAAACATGTAAACAGAAACACAGCTGTTAAACCAAGGGTGCTTTGTATAGCTCACGATGAAGCCATTAACACAATCAACTACTTATTAGTGAAGCTTATGATGTGTAGCATAGGAGCAATACCTCTTCATCACGTTCCCCCATGAGTTCTAGAGCTTGAAAGTGCCTTTGTTTCAGAGCTTCCAATTCAGCCCTCAAGCCAGGCACAGCTGCAGCTTCAGTCCGTAACTTTTCACACTGCATAAAAGTTCAATTCAGTTTGCACAGATGTATAGACAGATAGAGGTGTAAACTCTGATTAGATTGTCAGGATTTACTTGTTCTGTCATTTTCACCAACTCCTCCGCCAGTGAATTCCGAATAGATTCCAATGAGGCCTGAAACACACAGCAACATTACTTCCAAGAAGAAGGCGCAGATCAAATCAGAGTAACAAATGATAAATGAAAATGAAATAATGAAGTTTGAGTGACTGCTGTCTTAATGAATATTATAGCAAAAAGTATTGAAAGAAATAATAGAACTAGGAAGGTCGCCAGCAGCCCAGCACATATGACTTCAGATATTGTAGGAACATTTCTTTATCAGAATATGTTCCAAGACCACCCGAAGGAACAATTTCCACTTCTGAACATGAAAGATGAGTGTGATGCATGAATCTGAAGGTACTAAGGATTATTGAACCAGTGCAGGATGGGGCACAGGTTGGCAGCAGATATCATTTCCTGCCAAGTGCCAATAACTTCCCTGCTAAATTCTAGATGCTGCTCAATAGAAGTTAGCCAGGAGACACTGAAAAAAAAAACCTAGATCAACCAGGAGGAACTAGACAGCTTTTATATCAAGAAAATTGACACCCAATTTGCCTCGACAAGTACTTGAACGTTGGTGGTATAGGCGTACAACCACACCACAAACAACTGAGCCTGCTCGGCTGCCTTAGCCAGGAACCAACTGAGAGAAAAATCCAGTTTTTGGCCCAAAAAAAAAATGTTGCCAAATCATGTCTGACAATTTGGAAGTTGCAAAGTTAGTTAAAAAAAGCTGTGTGAAAGATATGTTTATGGACATGAATGAACTCAGTTACAAGAAAACTCATCAATAAATTTGCAAAGCTTGTAATTATTGAAGCTCATAGTTCTAATAATCAGCTACCACTTCTAGAAGTTTACTACGATTGTTTACCAGCAAGACAAAGGTGATAAAACTTAATGGGGTACTAACTAAACAGTTTGAGGAAATCAGGAGAAATATCAGAAGGATGCTTATACATACCAAGCGAGACATGTAAGAAGCAAGCTCTCCATCCTTTTGACGAAGTGCTGACTCAAAAGCACTTGGAGTCATGGTCCTCAGATAATACGACATATTACTTTCTGAAGACATTCGCCTCTCTAATGAAGCATTGTCAGATAAATCCAACGATGCTTGAAGGAAATGGCTTTCTTCTAGGCTATTTATACTGCCAGAACTAGACAGCTTTCTGAGAGGGGCATTTCCTTCAAAGAGCAAAATAGGAAACAGTTAAAAAGAATGGTAAGGTAACAACGAGAGGCAAAGTTGGATCTAACTCGGCCTAAATTAATTGGTATGAAAATAAAAGGCGTACTTGTCTGATCGGGAAGTGGAACTTTAGGTGCTTCACGGGAAGATGTTTTCTCAATTTCTGCTCTGGCAGCCTTTTCCCTTTCAAGGTCCTGTAAGTGCAATTCATGAAAGAAAATATCACATACATTGCAATTATGTTTATTCAAGTATCAACAAGCAACTTGAACTGATCTGATCATTTATTACCTCTTCAGTAGCAACAATATGATCAATGACATAAAAAAATTGCTTGACTAAGAAAAAAGCAATGGTCCTAAAAAAAAGACTTATAGCAGAGATCAATGTTTGTGTTATATGACATAAACTAACCATTTTTTAAGTCATAAATTCTAGAGACATTAACAAAATTGGCAGGAAAACATCACTTTCATACAGTCCTAAAACTACTAACATACATAGCTGGTCCAACTATTTTTTCTGAAACTATCGCAGTTAACTACCTTCTCAAGCAGTTCCCTGTGTTCTGCTGCTTCTTGCAGCTCCTTCTTGTGCTTAGCTCTAAGCTCCTTTATCTCTTCTTCGAGCTGTTTAGCCCGCCCTTCTTGCATTGCTGCCTCCTCTTTAATTGTTAGGTACTCCTGTCTACTTTCAGATGCTCTCTGCCTCTCCTTTTCAAGAGATCGACTCAGCTGTGTCTGCTCTGTTCTAAGAATTGTAATCTGCATGACCCAATAGTCACACCAAAAATTACTTGGCTATAAATCTGAAAGTGAGGTCTTAATGTTAGGCAATAGAATATGCCGCAGCCCCTTACCATATGCTGCGGCATTTGTAGCCATAATTAGTAGATGTAAATCAAGGATTAGTTACTATATTTAGTAGATGTAAATCAAGGGAATTACCCTTGCCTTGTAAAGCAAGGCCAGCCGGCCCTATATAACAGAAGGCGCCCCCTCCTATTGAGGTGTGGCATATTTTTGTTTTGCTAGAAATTGATATACCAACCTGGGTCTCAAGAACAGTTATCCGGGATAAACTTTGCGACAGTCGCTCATTTATAGACCGCTCTTTTTCTTCTGAAGCAGCAGCTTTAGCTTCTGCTTCCTGCATATTCAAGCAAAACATCAGATTATACATGATGCATTAAGAAAAGACAAACCTTATAATTCAAGTTTTCTTCATTGCATTTATGCAGCTACAGTTAAAACATACTGAGTATTTTTTTAACAAACCTGAAGGCGAGAGTTTAAGGTTCTCTCCACACCAGCCCAAGCTTCTTCCCTTCGAGCAGCTGTCTCCTGTGAATATTAACATGCAATTGATTAACTGAAAAAGCAATAAACACGGACAAGCCCAATATGGAAACAAAACTGAAGTGCGACACATAGACCAAGAATAAACAACAAAAGAAACATGAAACAAGTTTTTTTAAAAAGGCCAAATACAGGGGACCAATACCTGCATGGCCTCAATTTGCCTTAGGAGCGGTCTGGTAGACTCGGGAACTTGTGTCACTAGTTCATTATAACGAAGTTCACTGGCCTGAAGTATTAATAAATAATGAAGAAAGTGAGAAATGGTCCATTACCATTTTACTGCTTGACAACAGTTAACAAAGAAGCGCCTTACTTGATACCGCTTTTGAAGATCATCATAGTCCCTTTTTAGTCTTTCTTCCCTGAAAGCAGCCTGAAACAGCCACAAAGAAAAAGTTAATCAATGTAACTGACATCGGCCGGCTATACAAGGTAGATGGCCAAATAGATCGTCGTTATTGAGGCATATAACTAAATGGCATAGATTATATTTAGGTCAACAAATAAAGTACTCCTACAGTCCTACTTACTTCTATCGACAGTTAGAGAGAAGGTCTGGATACAAATGTTCAGCATTTACCTCCTGTTCTTGTCGGGTGAGAGAATGCCTCAACTCCTCGATTGTCTTAATCAACATATTTTCTTTTTCACCAGCTTCTCTTAAAAGGTTCTCCAGTTCAACTTTGGCTTCGCTGTTGACTCTTGCTTCAGCCAATGCCTCAGCCTCTTTAGCTGCATTAAGAGCATTGGTGTAGAACTCCTTCTGAGCTGCAAGTTCAGTCTGATTTCGTTCTATTGTTTCTTGAAGCAACTTCTCAGTTGCTGCCTTATCTCTCTTAATGCTTTCAACCTTAGCCTCCTCAACCTGCTTAGTCATAAATTGTCAAGTACATGCTTACTTTTGAGAACAGAAAATTAAACGGAACATAACATCTTGTTGAGGACGCCGAACTAACTTTGCTCCATCTATCTAAAGATAATAAGGGGAGAAAAGCTTGTATAATTGCAACTAAAACACAAAACTGTAAACAACCATACAGGTAAGCTTGTTTGATTGTAACTATCATGGAATACAAATGAAGTAAGCACAGCTTAAATGGTACCCACTGCATCAGGTCAAAAACAGAAGGAATGAAGAGGGGGGAAACAGAAGGAATGAAGAGGGGGGAAACTGATTTCATATTATGAAATCCAGCAAAGGTATGCATTTTTCATGATGCTCAAGAGGTAAGCAGAATTTAATTACATTGCATCACCAACATCAACAAGAAACGAACTTGGTTTGGATCATACTAAATATACCAAGTTGATATTCTTTTTTACCTGGATCTTTGAGTTCAGACGTTGTTTTTCTTCTTCAAGCTCACGAATCTAGCTTCAACAAAAGAACGTAAAAAGTAGTATAATTGGTCATACTGAAGAAAGCATTTTTATCATCTGAACATAGCGTACAGTTCTAGTCCATGCCTGTGCTCTCAGTTTTCGTATTGTAGCTTCTTGGGCAGCTTGTTTTTTGGATAGTTCTTCACCTGTTTATTAATAAAAAACAAGCTGTTGATGTCAATAGATTGCTCACCTATTTGTGCATCTTGAGTAAATCAGAATAACAAGGGACATCAGCACGATATGATGCATTAAATGGTGGTACTAGTGCAGTAGTGCTTGAAGTGGTCATTAGAATTTTAACAAATGAAATAATTATTTGTGTATTCATGACATTATAATGGGACAGTTCTTTGAATAATGAGAATCTAACATTTGTTCACAATAAACATAGTAGAACAAGAATAATATATAGGTTCTACATACCTTCAGCCATGACCTGATTGATGATCTCATCCTTTTCTTTCAAAAGGGCAGCTGCATCACTTTTTTTATTCTGTTCTCTCCTTAGTGTATCACGCTCTTTGGTCAATGCATACACCTACATACATCAAGGCACACAAATGATAAAATTTATGCCCTATGCATGAGGATAAGATGATGTATGGATGTCATGAAACACGTACAAAAGAAAATAGTTCTACAGTTTGACCCAGGAAACAGAAAAGGAAAGAAAAAGACAGAGAAAAGGTATTGTAGTAACTTGTGCCGTTCTGGCTGTGGCATTTCAATGATCTCTTCTTTTCTCCTTTTGAAAACATGCTAATGATCTCAATAATGCATCTTACTATTGTTTTTCCTTTTAGCACTAAACACTATCTGAACCAAATTGAATTAGAATAAATGCAAAAACAGTCAATAAATCCTCAACACTAGCCGCCAAAAAACAAGGACCGATACATTTTCTGCGACTACAAAGATTGTTTTTACCTCCTGATTTTCTAGAAACAGAAAATAAAGCTTCTCAGTTTAGTATTGTACTCATCATGTATTAACCAATCTATCCTTGGTGAGTGATGTCTGGTGTAGCTGACTGATTGTTAAAGCACAAAAAAAAATCATAAGCTATTCCTGCCACTAACACAGAGTAATAAAATACTGGACTACACAAAAAATAAAAGCAAGTGATGCATTTGTAACAATGCAGGCGGGCATTTTTTCCACTATGGACGAACCAAATTTCATTACTGAAAAGCAACAAAATTACAATAGTTGCCAGACACCTAATGAGTTAAGACCCAAAAAACTACTATTGCTATCCAAACTGAGCGCACAGGGCTCAGCCAGAAAAGCAACCCGAGTAGTAGACCACTACTACTCCCCCAAAACGAAAACCCAAGGTTCCAGACCAATGCAGGCGAGCATAACATAATAACATGTCCAAATCGTAGCATTGTGTACCTACCCCTTTTAAATGGTCATTACTACCAAATCTGGAAGCCATATGCAATCACCAATTGGCAATAGAAGCATCAAGTAACAAGAAGAAAGTGGTTATGTGCCTCACCTTCCTTTCAAGAGTTGCTACTCTTTGGTGATATTCATCCTTAAGTGCATCCATTTCGGCTTCAGATGACTTACTCTGGACCATATCAGAAACCAATCAATCAAAAAATTTAAAATGTGTAAGTGCTCTACAGCACTAATGATTAATACAGAGAATACTTTTTCGACATTCATCTTCTTTATTTTTCACAGAGTTTTATTTACTAAAATTAGCAGGAAGTACTAAATTCAGTCATTATAATAACTGCTGCTGCAAGGCAAAAGATGGAAAATATGCTTACAAACATACCTTGAGATCATCGATTGTTGATTTTAGTTGTTCATTCTCATTCATCAACCTTGCAATTTCATCAGCTTTGGACTGTAGAAAGAATTACATGCTGTTAGCCACAATGAATATCAAAGAGCTGGGTATGTTGCAACCAAATGACACATGGGACCAGGGCCTATTAAATGTTTCAACTGTACTAATGTCCATGCAACAATTATAAAACATGAAACGTATAGAATTACTAAAATGCTTCCCTTATTTTGATTAAAAAAATGCTTCCCTTATTCTCCACAAAAAAGGATGAATTCACAGATTTAAAAGGTTCACTCCCATGTGGAGTACCTTTCATAGAGTACAACTCCACAAGCTTTAACTGAATTGCTACCACAGAGATTTGGGCATGTGGAAATGATACCTGTGACTGTCTTGCAGCACCTTGCAATGCAGCTTCCATCATCTTCATTTCACGTCTTAATTTCTCTAGCTCAGCGACAGAAACAACAGAGTCCAGAATCTGAGAATCTGTGCTTCTAACAGATTCTGGAATCTTTTCTTCTTTTGTAAAATCACTTGCAGGACCTACTCCCCCTAGTCCAGCAGGTACATCTGTCGAACTGACCACTGACTCGTTCTGCAAATGTGAATCATGCGCTGCAGTTATGGACTTTGACGTTAAGTCTTCAGGTTGCTCCATTACATTATCCTCCTGTGCAACAACAGATGCTTCCCCTGCCTCCATCTTATTGCTTTCTTCCTCACTTTTTTCGGTATTAATATCGCCATCATGTAATTTGACTTCAAGATGAGTAACTCTATCTACTGTATCGCTATTCTCCAGTGGGCCACTAAGTTCTTTTGGGGCATCATATTCTTGAGCAATCTTGTCCTCAGCTTCAGTTATATTATCTGAACTAGCTAGCGTGGATTCTGCTGGTTGTGACGGAGAGGTGTTCCCATCAGATGTGTCTTCCTTTCCTGTATTAATAGATTCCCCTGTTTTGGTGTCACCTGATTTATCTATTTTGGTAGGCGAAGAAGATGCACTACCATCAGGTAAGTCTCCAGCAGACTCTCTAAGCTGATTTGGCTCTGCTTCATCACTGGGACCAGAATGTTTGCTATCTTGATGGTCCTGGTTTTCTTCCACTGTTGAAGGATGTCCTGGAGATTGTGATGTTTCTGGTGGTTCACCATCACCCACCTTAGATGCAGGTGCCTCAGTGAAGCCATCAATTTTTCCTTCTGCTACTGAAGGATGTGTTGGGACTGAAAGGCTATGTTGTTGTTGTTGTTGTACTGAAGGATGTGTTGGAGTTTGTGGTGTCATAGACTGCTCAGAAACATCTGCCTTAGAAACAGGTGACTCATTGGAGATACTATGAGCTTCTTCCGATTTTGAAGGCTGTTTTGGAGATGTTGTTCCTGTTACTTCAGAAGGATCTACCTCAGATATCTGTTTCTTAGTTGGGGTGCTATGATTTTCTTCCTCTACTGACAGATTCTTTGGAGATTGTGGCTTTTCTGATACCTCAGTGCCATCCTCCTCACCATTGTGTCCCATGAAAGCCATGACAGGATTGAAGAATCCTATTCTATCAGAGTTGGATGTCCGCGATCCTGATGCTGCATTACCAAAAAACATTTTATTTGAGCACGCAGATGGTCATGTAAACAAAAATACAATGCTTCCATTGGGAAGCTCTTAGCCAGCACTAGCAATCAGTGAAAAACAGGCATGCATAAAGTCATTGCTTGAACCGCCTAAACCAATCAATCCTACGGATATCAGTAACTCAGAGTGAAAAAAAGTGTTACAGTTCCAACACTTGTAAGAGGACATAAGTTTGAAAATATGCCTAAACCAATCAATAGTACAGGATTCAACAGACTAATAAACTGAACTTTGACTAAACGTGGAAAATGAACAGATGATAGGCGCATTTTTTTTTGTCAAAATCCAGTGATAATAATCAATGAACACATTTCATTCTCCACAAACACGGATCTGCCAAATATCAATTGAACATAACCACTAACACCACTGACCACCCCATCACAGTGACATATCAACAGTTACAATGTTAATACACAGGCTACCACGCACCAATGCACCCCCAATACACTGAATTAGGCGAATGGCAGGACACAGAAGGTTGTAGCATTAGTGTCTCCATGTCGTACGTACCTTCCTCATCGTCGCGCTTCTCCTCTAGGCCGAGCGCGCTGTCGAAGTTCTTCTCGATGTTCTTCACGCTCTCGCTGATCTTGTTGACGGCTCCGGCGATGTCCTGCAGGCCGCCGAGCGATACCTTCCCGGACCACCACGCCATCCCTGTCCCCGGCCTCCGATCGCCACCGGCCCACGGCCTCCACCACCGCAGCTGGCGCCCTAGATCTCGGGCATAGATCTAATGACCCGCGCAGCCAATCCACCGCCCACACCCAGAGACGCGGGCGCGCGGGCGGGAGCGGGATCTGGCCACCGCAACCTCGCCTCGCTGACTAGATCAGCTGAAACTACGAGAGGCGGGGACGGGGGGCGAGCCGACGCGGACGCGGAGGCGGGCGCGGTAGTGGAGGAAGCTCTTTGGCGAGCTCCCGCCGCGCGGTGACGACTGGCGAGGCGGGAGGGGAGATGTAGCTGCGGGGGGCGGGAGTGCGTAGGGTTGGGTTGGGTCGGGGAGCACGACGGAGAGGGGGAAGAGAGTGCGTTTGGCCGTTGGCGCGTGGGGGCGCCGCGTCGGCGTCGGTGATCGCCCGCCCGCGCGCGCGCCCGCCTACCCCCGCTCTCGGCTCGGTGCAGTGAGCAGTGGATCTCGGCCTGAACGAGGAAGACGAATCCGCGGTGCGGGTGCGGCTCGTCCCGTCGCTCCAGCTGCGTCATCACCAGTGCACGCTGCCTACCAGGGCCAACCAACCGGTGCGCCGTACAGTACAAGGTAGCGTGGACCTTGTCGACAAGTCGCCGCACGGGCTGTTTCGGCGTGCACTCCCTTGTTGAGATCCAACCCAACAGAGGTTTTGGGCCCGTTCGGCCTGCGAGACGGTTGGATCAGGCTGCAGGTGGACAGGCCCAAGCACAAACAAAAACTACAGAAGCAGAACAGATCCTCATCAAAAAAAAAAAAAGGAGTAGCCGACCGGGCTCCATGTTGGTATTGCCAAGTCAGCTCGCAGCAGAATCAGGAGATGAGGATAAGCCTATCCAGAGCAGGCCACGTGGCACCCTCCCTATGGGTCTCTCGGCCATCTTCGCGCCATGCGAGGCGGCCACAACCTCCCAAACAAATCCCAAATCCTCAGCACGATACGATCCACCAGATTAAGTTTGTGCACGTACGCACTGGGACATCAGTGACCAACAACAGCTAGTGCGCGCGCCATGGCCTCCCTCGCCGCCGCCGTCTCCGTGCAGCCCGTGGCCGTGAAGGGCCTCTCCGGCAGCTCCATCTCCGGCAGGAAGCTCGCCGTCGCCAGCAGGCCGTCGGCCCGCGCCGCCTGCCGCTCCACCCGCAGGGCCGCCGTGGTGGCCAAGTACGGCGACAAGAGCGTCTACTTCGACCTCGAGGACATCGGCAACACCACCGGGCAGTGGGACCTCTACGGCTCCGACGCGCCCTCGCCCTACAACCCGCTCCAGGTGCTCCATGATCCTTTAGCTATGTTACGCAAACTAGACTTATGTTTGATGTTTTCTGGGTGATCTGATCTCTCTGCGTGCTTCACGTCACCAGAGCAAGTTCTTTGAGACGTTCGCGGCTCCGTTCACCAAGAGAGGCCTGCTGCTCAAGTTCCTGCTGCTGGGCGGCGGCTCCCTGCTGGCCTACGTCAGCGCGTCGGCGTCGCCGGACCTCCTGCCGATCAAGAAGGGGCCCCAGCAGCCGCCGCAGCCGGGCCCGCGCGGCAAGATCTAAGCTCAGCTCCTTCATTTGCATTGCATGGTCTAGTAGTAGCTTGCTTTGTACTGCTAGCTCCGGTCGGTCGCACTCCACTCGCCATGGATCATCATCCCTGCCTGTTACGCTGTTCATAACTTGGTATATTTGTGATCCTGGTATTGTGTACTCTTTGGCATTCGATTAAAAGAGCCTTTTATATATGTGCCATTATAAAAGATCACAATTACTTAGAAAATAAAAAATGGTGTTGTGTGCCTCGTATAACCTGCAGATAATATGTTTTTTATGTCATCTTTGTTATTATGGGACTGGGCCTGTTTGGTTGGTTCCAAAACTAGCCCAACCAAAATCAAGACATGCTAAAATTAGGACAAAAAATATAGGTTACCATGATTTTGACCGTAAATATTGGTATTGCCAAAAAAAATTTAATGAATCGATTAATAGCCAAAGTTTATAGGTTTATCTTAATTTTGGTTGGCGTTGGTGTTTCTTAGCGTCACCATTAGGTTTGATGTTTCCTAGCAATGGTACCAGAAACGTCGTGACGATATTTCTGAACACATGCAGAAATATTCCGCAAGCGCACGAGTATATCGTTGTATCATTTCACCTAGAAGTATTCGGGTATCGTTCATTTATATTTTTCCAAACGAAAGCATGGTATAAAAGTCTCTAATAAGGATATGAACAAGATAACATGACTGTATAGTAGACCAAAGTCCATAACAGGGGTAAGCAAGGATAAATATTGGATAGTGTGACACACACACTCAAGACAATCTCAAAGATAAAGATAAAAGAAAGAATAAAGAATAAAAGAATAAACCTAAACTGGAGCAGTCTTATCTTATATAGCTATGTTAAAATTAGCAGATCATACAAATACATGAATTTCTAAATGGTAGAGATCCTAAGTTAAGATAGCTTTGGTCACTATAAACTTACTTCGGGCACCGGTGAAAACTGGTCTGCCAAGCGTTGCCGGCCTACAGCTCTACGCCGTATCCGAACGTGGGAAATTACGAAGGACGGACATGGCTGTCACCACCTGCCGCCTACCCCTCAACCGTGGGATACGAGACAAACGAAGATAACTTCTAACATAGACACCATGTCTACGCCATTGGTTACTAGTATAGCGGTAGCCAGGAACTTCCGTCTTTATCAGGAGTCCTCTTACTAGAGCATCCGTCACGGGGATGGACGACGAACCCGCAAGAATATAACAACCCAAACTAATCTTAAAGTAGAACCTTCTACCTCAATTTAGGTCTTGGTCTAAACATGTATGTATGAAAGATTAAGCATAAAGTTCTATATGCTAAATGAATAACATAAGAACTTAGCTCTAGTTTCATAACATAGCTATATTGATAATATAAGAACAAGAATATAAGGGGACTCCATATTATTCATACCAAGATTGCCCCTAGAGGTTCAAGCTCTCCAATGAAACTAGCCTTGCTCCAACAAAACTAAAAAGATAAAAAGATACAAGTGTGGAGGGAGAGAGGCTCTTGAGTTGTGGCGTGTATTGAAGGAGCACCTACACCCTCTATTTATACATGTTGAGGTCGGTTTGGCGTGTGGAAAAATAGGAAACATCTCAAAAACGCCTCTACATGGCGCCATGCAACCGACGGTGGAAGTTGGGCCCGGACCGCGCCGCTTGGGGTGCGGCCGCACCCTAGCTGGCTCGCCTGGCCACCGCCTTTGCCGGGTGGGTTGGTGGTTGGGCCTAGGCTCCTTCCACGTCGGTGCTCGGCCCTTGTTCGTTGTGTAGTTGGGCTTTTGCTTTATTCTTTGGTGTAGAATATGCATTACGCTTTGTCTGATGGCGTATTTTTGTCACCTTTTCCACCGTATTCGTGTATATGTCCTGTAAAATAATAATCTTCCAATACAAGTGGAAATGGGTCAAAGTGATAACATAAATGTGTAAGCCATGCTTATTTTCATCTCTTTTGGATCTTAGTTGGTGGTAAAATGTTGTCACTAAGGATCGCCAACAGTTGGCAAGCTTTGAAATCCAACCAAACAGGCCACATATCAACCAAGTACGTACAGTGATGACTTTATTACAGATATTTTGGGAAAAAAACATCCATGAATACATCCACAGTTGTGTAAATTTCATTTTATAAAAAAAATGTATCCAGTCACCCATCTACAAATACATTCACCTAATCATCTCTTCATTGAAGAGGGTAGACAAATGTGAGCCCAAGAATTGTCACGCCACAAAAAAAAAGATGGTCAACATGAAACCTGATGCTATACAATTATATACAATCTTAGGCCGCGTTCGGTGCCGCTTCAGCTCTAGTACCACAGAAGTGGGAGCTGGAGCTGAAGCATCAAAATTATGACTCCACCTCTAGACTCCACCCAGAAAATTGCTAAGCATTATATTTTGCATCCTCACGAAGAACTACGTGCCATCACAAATGAGCATGCTACGTAAGACGATGCCGCTACCTACGTGCTCTAGGAGCAACTAATAACCTTTTTACGAAAAGTCGGCAATAGTTTCACCAGGCTAATTTATTAGAAGAAAAGCTACATGACTTTGATTTTATTTGGGGGCTTGGAAAAACAGCATGCTGCATTTTGTCTGTGTTCCAATGATGCAACAAATTAAATATGATTTGTACTCCGTCCATTATAAATTATAGGAGCTGACTTTGACTTGCTGCTAAGTCAAATTTCTTTGATTTTTTGATCAAGTTTATAAAAAAATACATGAATATCTGAGTTTTATTAACCTGTTTTAAGGCCAACAAAGAAAGATTATCCCCCACCTGGATTCATACATTTGTAATCGGCCCAATACCAGCCCACGTGAGGCCGAAACAATTTTATAAAGTTTTGAATTGAACGTTACATTGCCTTGCCTTGTCAATCTCCGGCAATAGACATCACCACGGCATCACCTAGTGAAGAGTGTCGAACCTTGGGTCTTCCCACAGAAGACCACATCGGTCCGACAGGTGCCAGTAGCAAAGAGCCATGAATGTGCTGAGGAGGTGTTTACCCGGTGTGGGTTTGTCATAGTTTTTAAGACTCTCATATGTTGTAAACCATGTTGACTAGTCTTATATTTCTATGAAACTTGGATCATCTCTCTCTCTTTATTTATACTAGCAAATATGTCCGTGCGTTGCAACGGAAGAAAAAAGCTATAAAAATATATATATGTGTTAGATTTTTATTTATAACTTATTTTATGAAGTCTCTGATAACCATAATATAAATTAATATTGGTAATAATATTACAATGCTTTATTAAATCCATATATCAAATTAAAATAGATTTTTGATTGATTTTTCTCTCATTGTAAAGACATAAATATGTACTCGTGAATATTACATAACTTTAGTTTCGATACTATCCATGTGTCGGTAGAGTTAAATATCAAGTTTCACGATTTCCTTGAAGAACACATGAAAAATATCTAATATTTGTTTATTAGAGAAAGGTCAAGGTTCAAAGAGTCATAATAGAATATTTATAGTAAATTGTGTATGTGTGTTGCAACCGAACCTACAGCTTATGGATAGCTAGTCACCTAAACGACTTGCGATTCGAAGATTTGTCTAAGAATCACATCATCTATCACAATACATGTTGGAGTCGGACGTTTTAGCATTGTTGGACACATCTTGTAGTCGAACACTATATCATTATTGGACACATGTTGTTCTAATTCATATGAGCATGGGGTTGTAAGTACAACTCACATGCGGGTTGGAGTGGAGATTTAGCATCGTTGTTGGACGGGTATTGTTCTAACTCATATGGGCATGTGTTCAAGTCATGAACAGGGTAGAGAGAAGCGCAAGGGTATTGTGAGAAGTAAGAAAAGATAGTTGAAAGAATACCTTTACCCTCTAATATCAATCAAGTCGACAGATATAGATTAGACTAGGTAGCGTGCCCGTGTGTTGCTACGGAACAATTAAATCTTTTGTACTAAAAACACACGGATCGCACGATAAGATAACAATACTGTTGAATTAAATACCGACGTCAAAGTGACATTTAATTCAAAAGGCAAAATTTGTGAAATTAACACGATCCACGAGAGCGCTGACGTCATGAGCTCACAAACTCTCATCAGATAGACTTTTTTTCGTGATACGGCTAAGATAATATTTTATATCGACAGAAAGAATTCTACGATATCCATTTTTTTCATGCGCCAATAAATCCATGGATAAGTTCCACTGCATCTCCATATAATCATGTACACACAGGTTCGAGTATATATATAAATAGGTTCATGCCCGTGCGTTGCTACGGGGATAGCTAAACTTTTGTATTAAAAACACACAGATCGCACGATAAGATAACAATACTGTAAAAGTATATGACCGACGTTAAAGTGACATTTAATCCAAAAAGCTAAGTTCATGAAATTTACATAGTCACAGAGAGCATGGCGTCGCAGGCTCACAAACTCTACTGTGTAGATCTTTCCGTGATGCGGCTAAGATCATTTTTTATACCGGCAGGAAGAGATTTCTGATATTCATTTCTTTCGTGCGCCAACAAATCCACGAATAAGTTCCACCACATCTCCATACCATCCTGTACATGGCACTGGCAAGCGAATTAACCACAACTTATGTAATTAGTTTTATAATTAACTCATATTTAGTCCTCCTAATTGATATCTAAAAATTCAATGTGACAGGGATTAAAGTTTAGTCCTGGGATCCAAACATCTCCTAACTCTCGACTCCTGCTGGCTGCTCACTTACACCACCATGTCTATGCGTCTGCGCGTATATACTCTAATGCCAGAACGTCTAAGATGGTCTTTAAGGTTGCCATTTATGTATGTTGTAGGATTAGGATGCTTTGCACTGATCCATGAGGGTGTCCATAAGAGTCGAATTTTTTGATGTCATTATGATGTCTAAGCTTACCAATCAGACATAGATGAACTTGATTGTTAAAATATTTTCAACACTGCTTTCATATACTCCCTCTGTCCCAAAATATAATT